CCGGTTAGATTTCTAGTGATTTCTTAATTGGCGTTAGTTCATGAAGAAAATTACTAACGTCATCTTGATTTAAAACAAAAACTACTAAACTGTATACATTTTCTTTCTTAAGAAATAAAGATAAAGATTGTTGCTCTGGTTGTTAGAAGGTGCATCAGCCTTCCGAAAATTTTCGGCTTTCATCTTGAGGCGTCATAATTCTTCCTACAACTCCCAGGGCAGAGTTTAGTTGGTTTAAATTATTTTTTCTGATTAGCGTTTTTAGCGAGTTAGTTTTCTACGGGATGGGGTCGCTGGCTCTATGCCGAACCCTCCTCCTTTACCCGGGCTTGTGACCCGGAAGCAGCTTCAGAAGAGCTACAGGCAGAGTTAAATATTTATATCATTCATCTCTCTCTCTCTCTCTCTCTATATATATATATATATATATATATATATATATATATATACATTTCTCGTTTTTTCATCTCAGCGCCATAGATGTAAGTTGCTTACTCTGTAAGTTCATGAAAGCTCTAATCATTGATTGGACCCAAACTAATTAGGACCTTATAGTTATGTTTCAGGGTAATCCATCATAGAATTTGAAGATCAGAGGAACGGAAAACTATTTGAAGTACATAAATTGCTCTTAATCAACTCGTTAATTTAATTTAATAATCACAGTTAAATGTTATCAGAAATGTAAACAATGCACACGATTAATAAAGAAAATCAACTTAAAGAAGAAGAAAGTTTGAATGGTCAACAATATTATTAGTGTTGATAGTTCTGGTGTAATTGGTCGCTGTTGTCGTTGTTATGGTACCAACTCATTCATCATGCTTTATTTATAGAAAAATTTTCTGAAAACAGAATTCACTTATCACAGGACATTAGAGAGGAAGATTGTATCTATGAAAATCTTAGCGATTGAATTTGAAGTAAATCCAACGTTTCGGTAGGAAGTCTGGCCCAATCTTTTTCAAAGAAATTCAGTCAAACATAAAAATTATTGAATAATCATAGGCACTTGAAGAAAGTGAATAAAAGTTGAACATTTAATGTTTCTAATAATCAAAAGACTGGTAGGTCCTGGGTTCGAATCTCGAGAGGCGGGATCATGGATGCGCACTGTTGAGGAGTTCCATAATAAGACGAAACGGCCATCCAATGCTTTCAGGTTTTCGATGGTGGTCCAGCTCTAATCGACTCATGATTTCAACTATGAAAAATACTGAAATCTCCACAAAATCCCTTCTGAATACTGTTAAAATCACTTCATATTCATTTCCAACTGGATTTTCATAAATTTTTTTTTAGATTCAGTACATTTATTTGAGTGAGAAAGTATAAAGTAACTGGGTGTTTATTTAAAAATTTAGAGACCAAACAAATAATAATAAAAGAACATTTTTGAGAGCGAAAAAAACAAAAAAATCGGATGAATGGTTAGTAAAGGTAGATAGAGAAAAATAAAATGAATAGTATAATGAACTACATTAAACAATCAATGTTATCAGATAGAAATTAAGTGCCTAGACTATAAATGGTACCAGTATCATTGATGAATATCAATATAATTACATATAGAAATAAATGTAAAAAGGAGATTATTTTATGTGTGTATATTTCCATTGTAAGGGGGGATAGTCTTATACATATATTATGTATGTATGTATGTATGTATGTATGTATGTGTAAATATAAATGAACATGTATTATATTCAATGATAAAATACAGTTGTAAAGTTAATATTACCCAGTAATAATCATGATAATATTAAATATTGATAAGAGGTGAAATTTGGGCGTTATTTAAATAATTGGAGTGTAAAAAAGTGAAATGAAGATTGACTTACTATTATTACTGGGGTTTTTTGTGAATATAAAATTGATTTTCTTTTTTTTTTTTAAAAATTTCTTTCGTCCAGTTGTACTTTCTCGTATTTCTGATGTCTTTTTTCATTTCCATTTCTGTTTTTACACACATACACACAATGGCTGTATAAATATATATGCTTGCTTATTGCGGACAGTTGCGTACTGAAGTCGATCTAGCTCTCCATTATCAATTTAATTGCATTTAACAGTTTTCTCCCTAACTTTAACTCTTTTACTGATGAGCGACGTACAGACATATGGAGGTGCCTGCACAGATTCGAAAAGAACAGTTTGTTATTCACTTCTTGTCTTAATTAGACGTTTTTTTAAAAAAATCATTTAATCAAACAGATAGAGCTACTTTTATAAAGAAAAAGTAGTGGGTGAACAGTTTTGTGTTCTGTTCTTTCTATTTTTTTCAATTAGATAATTGTTTAAATGAAATATTAAGTTCATTTACGTATCAGTTCACACATTTGTTTAACTTTATATTCGTTTTTGCTACAAAACTAAACTGGTAAGGTGTTGCCTTGTTAAGAATGAAGGGAAAATTTCTCAAACAATACCACAAAAAAGAACTATTTTTTACACATAGTATTTCAATAGATTTGGGTTACTCACAACTTGATTTGAATAAAGTTACTTATACAATAAACAGAAATTAAGAGAACCTGTCTTCTTGAAGTTATTATTTAACGAAAAATATAGTTAATGGTCAACTATTGACTAACTAAAACCAGGAAGAAAATGTTTTGTATAACTAATCTTTGCTTATCATTTTCTACTTGACCCGTGATTGTGGCTAGAAAACTATCACCTCCAAGTAAACCTATTCATCACAAAACCATTCCATTAAAACTGTGATCGTTTGCTCACTAGTGACTTGTTTTAAAATGAGTTGATAAAGTTTCATTAGGAATTTGTAAGCAGTGGAGTTCACATTTGATGGTAGTAAAACAGTCATCACCAATGGTTTTAAACGGTTGTCACGCTATATCCCAAATAGATTTAAACTAAAAGTTTGTATCATTAGATGCAGATTGGTTGTGTCAGCACGGATTGACAAAGCAAGGAAAGCATTTCAACAATTAAAGTACACTGAACTCAAAAAAATTGACAATCAGCACCAAACAATACTAAGTTGAATTTAATCAGCACCAAATTTATAATTTTCAATACAAGCGTCTATTTCACAGAGCTAAAACTTGAAGAACTACTACAACTATCATCAAAGTGGTATAAGTATTTATAAATAGTTATCTTTGTAACGTACTTCAGATAGGTTGGCTGGACACTATCAGTAACAATCTACTGTGGCAGAAGACAAACCAGATTCATGATGAAGAAAAATACGATGGAGATGGGTAGGGCACATGTTGTGAAAATCATCAAACTGCATCACAAGGCAAATGGTAACTTGGAATTCTGAAGACTAAAGGTAAAGAGGCAGTCCAAAAAACACGTCGCGTCGAGGATTGGAGACAGACATCAAAAGAATAGACAACACTTGGAAGCTTCTAGAAAGGAGAGTCTAGGACAGAGCTGGTTAATAATCGTGGTCGGTAGCCTTTGCTCCCCGAAGGATGACAGGCGTGAGTAAGTGAGTAATCATCCAACTTAAACTTATTTATTTAACGCCCAAGAGACTGCCAAAACACCTAAATACCTTGAGTCCAATCCACTGCAGGACAATCGTAGTACATTCAAGATACGATATTATTGTATTGAATTAACATGAACCATATTCAGTATGATAGAAAGTAGTTGATTTATTATAATTCTGGACATTCTTTATATAGGTGATTGTGTTGTAATTAATAATCAAATGAGTTTACAAATCAATAAATGAATGAGCATATTTTCTACTAGGACCATCGTGTTTTGAAGTAAATAAATCTTCATTTACACCAGTTTTTCGTATTCCTAATTGGCGTCGTGTGAATTGTAGTGATTCTTCGTTTTCAAGTATAAGTAATAGGCGACGCGGATATAAAATACATTCACTGAGATAAATCAGTGACAAACTGCACATACGAATTAATTATTTATTGTCAATCGAAATATTAACAACGTTGGATAGCGGCTCAGTGATCTACAGATTAAGCGTTCTCGTGTAAAACTGGAGGTTTTGGGTTCGATTCCAGCTTGCGGATTTGTGACTGCTTACTGATGAGAAGTCCTGTACAGAACAAAACGGTCGCTCTTTGTATCCAGTTTTTCAATGGTGGTGTAACTTAAATCGCTTCATGATTTCAATGCAGTTCAACCATCTCCACAACCCCACAATGAAAAATATTAGAAAATATTAATTAATTTATTCAAAATCGAAGTTATGTAAAAAAGTTTCAAGATGAAACCTTCCCATCCCTCATTTTAATAAAATGAACATCGGACAAATTTCCCATTTTCAATATTAATAAAAAATATTCACTAGTTTTTAAGCGTTTGACTTAAATACAATCCTAAATTTTTTAGGTATTAAACAATCTAATAAAAGTGTTTGATGTCTGATAGTATTTGGAGATTTATTTTACGGAGCTCCTGAATTTTGTAAACGTTTATTTATTTACGTATTCCACGTAGATTATTACTGACCTCATTATTGACAATAAGCAAGAATCAAGTTTTTAAATTGATGAATGAAGTGGATCCAAGTTTTCAATGAAGAATAATCTTTGAAATTTGAGCTAATGAATATTAATGTAATGAAATAACTAGGCTATTTAATAAAAACGGTTCTTTTAACAGAAAAATACCTGATGAATGATTCGACTATAAGCCTATCCATTTTTATTTATTTAATTGATCAGAAAAAACCTAATAACTGAGTATATATATTTTGTCGAAATTTACTATGGAATTTTACTACAAAAGAAATCGGTAGTCTTTCCAAAGAACTATTTAATATATATAGGCAGTACATTTGCCTGATATGTATATACGGGCATGTAGTACATACATACAAAAAGTAATATATCCATTCACTCAAAATATATCTGAAATATAGGTCATGTCTAGTTTCAGTGCATAGAAAAAATAATCAAGGTGGGAATCCATATATATATATATATATATATATATATATATATATATATATATATATATATATATATATAGTATACTAACTAGACTGACAATTAGAATTATTATATTGAATACCATAGTTTGTTTTTTCTAGAAAAGAATGATTTATAAGAAGTAGTGTTCAAACACAAACTAGTACTTAAACACGCGGTCTATTAAAGAACATAACAGCGAATTACGATACAAGAAAAGGCACATAGAAACAATACAATTTTTAGGAAATACTATCCTTGAATTGGTAAGATAATTGTAGAGATTAGTTTTTTTCCCCATAAAGTATCTTTCTTGTTCTATACTATGTGTATATAAATGTGTGTGAACTTGTTACTCGAAAAATAAACATTGTATAAAAAATAATTATATGGTAAATTTACTTGTACAGTAAAGATGATCATATTTGAGTTCTGCATTCGACGGAAAGAAAACAACAACAACACTGATTTGATTCTTTCCCTTGTTCTGTTCTATTTATCTATCTGTTGTTATATATGGACTATTGAATTAGGACCTGAAGAACTTGAATTGCCGTTAAGTTCTAAAGTCGATGATTTTGCTTATTTTCACATGTATGCTGGATATCTCAGCTATTTATTTTCTAAGAATTTCAATCTTAAACAAGATAACTTTCAATGATCATATGTTTTTCACAGCTCTCTAGTTAATATTGGATACTTTATAGTGACAGGTAATCTAGAACCATTCATGTCAATTCACACTGTTGAATAAATGAATTTAAACTAAAGGAGTTTGTTTAATTCTGTTTTCAGAGCTTTCCATCACTATTTTTGCGTGAAAACTGAAGTGACATAAAGATTATGAATAATAATGCAATGAAACTTTACCATACTATTAAATTTGTTTGCTTCTTAAAATGTCCCTAAGAGTATTACGTAACTTTTCAACCAGTAAGCATGTAGCTGAGTGAGATTAGGAAATTATAAAACAAATGTGTTTAGATTTAAATGTACAAAACATTTAAGGTTGTTTATGAATTTTTTAAAATTCACCAGTTGTGGTTTTCAATCCTTGAATTCAAGAATTTTTCATACAACATTGAGCAATACCAGTTCTCAAATCAGTTGAGCATTGTAAATTGATTTTGTTGATTTCAATGCTTTGTTTGTGTTTATGATTACTGTCTGAATTCGCTTTAGGCATCTCTTTATCACAGGACTGTTTAATATTTGGTATAATTACTGATACCATGATATATCTGAGAATTAATTTTTCGCGAATGAGAAAGGAGACGATCTCAATTGATTTATAAATGATTTGTATGGTTAGCTATATTGAATAGTTATTAACAGTTCGTTTTGGCTAAATTTATAACCAATATCATTGAACAAAAATTAAAATACAAAGGTCTGAAGCAGAGAGTTAGTAAGACACCATCATTCTTCTTAGCATATTGAATTGAAATATCAAACATTGTTGAATTATTCAGTTTATCCAAAGCATTAAAGGCGTTTAACTAGCTAATAAACATACTTCGCTGCTAAATAGTTAGACAAAATCGACAGGAAACCCCAGGCTTTGATTTCAGATTGATCGACAATTAGTAGGAAGGCTGAATTATAATTCTGATTGGACAACTGCTGGCTGTGACCTTCAAACCCATATCAGCCATTGTCACATTCAGAGTAATTCAACCACTTAACTATTCGCCCGTTGACTGATCTACTGTCCTTGCCCTTAATACTGACTGAGTTCTATTGACCGGTTATCAAGATATGGTGAAATATCTAACGTTGTTGAGACAATTTTACAAGATCAATCTGAGGTTCAATTTCGTAATATTTTAATTCCATACCCACATTTTTCTTTTTCTTTCACCGTTGAGAAGTGCTAAAATCTCACTGTTCGAGTTTTATCTTTATTATGTTTTTAGTTTTAGTTGGAACGCCTTTGATTTTCATTAGTTTGTATCTAACTTTATCGTTTTTGAAAATAAAATATTCCTTGCTCAACTGTCTTTAATTCTTTTCCAATGACATTATGAGTCTTTTCCGTTCATTCCATTTTTATGTTTTCCCTGGTAGTTCCTGGTCAATTAGATAAAAGTTTCAAATTACATGAAACTTTAGAGAAATATTTCCAAATAAATAGTTTTAGATTATCCACAAATCTTTAATTATTGCTTTATCCAAGAAAATAACTACTTATTGATAGTAAGTAGTGTGGGTAATCAACAATAATGAATCATAATAATAATCCCATTTGTTATTGTAGTGAAAGTATAAAATACTGAAAAATTTAGATTCAAATAAAATTATGTGAACAAAACACAGATGACTTTGTTAATATTTCTCAGGGAATATTCTGATAAAACACGGTGCCAGTGCATTGGTATTTGAAAATTTCATATGTAGACTTCCTGATATTCTGAAGTCGACTTCTGACAAGTAAATATTTAAATTTAAGTAGGACTGTCTTGATAAAGATAAAAAAACATGTGGACCTTTGCAAGTATTTTGTGAGCAATAATGAGATTCCCACACCATCACAGCATTTACTAGGGAATTTCCTCATAATACACAGTGTTAACCTCTTTTATATCACTTGCATACATGCTAGGTAGTTAGAGGTAGTCAATAAGGGATCACTGACCTAGGTTTAGTGCTTATTGTGATTCGTCAGCAATCAGTACCTGTTATCTAGTGGGGAATCAGACTCGAATACACGTTACTAAGTTTCAAAGTCTGAGACGTTATTTTGAGTCACGTCTAAACTCTTATGTTGTTGAGATATTTGCGATTGAATGATCACTGAATAGTGTAAAAAGTCATGTTTGTTTACTCCTGTAGTAAATTCTAAAGACAAACTGCAATTCAACCAGCACTAATGGACTAGACAAATCTAACACTGATCAGCTGGTTTTATTTATGTAACGATATCATGAAAAGCAACACTTTTTCAAGACCGTTTTACTTATTTTCATCTAAGATACTTTACGGTAAAAGTTATAAGTTATTAATAAAACACTAATGTTCAGGACAATGTATCATCAAACTAACACCATTGGATGTCATCCTAGTGGTTTCAAGGTTAAGCGCTAGTTATAAGCACCGAAGGTCCTGGATTTGATTCGCTGTAATGGGGTTGACGATGTGTACTGGTAAGGAGTCTCATACAAGGAAGAAACAACAGTCCAGTGCTTCTAGGTTTTCAATAATCGTTTAGCTAAGATTAGTTTTTGATTGAAAAATTTTGAAAATTCTATAAATCTCCTTCTACCAGTTAATTATTTGTGTACAAACAAAACTTTCTTTGCATGCATATCATTCTGCTAATTGAATGAATACACCATATTTATTAATATAACAATAACATTGTAATAAACGTAATATTTATTCATAAGTTCTATACACCTAGTATTCATAAAAACAATTAGGTAAATTTTTAAATATATTTCATATGGGAAGTCAATTAGTTTCAATAGTATTTGTACTATACGTTCACGGATTTCCACATGGATATCAGAGACTATTTCCAGTTTTATTCCACGGAAATGGTTATCAGTTTTTTTTAATATTAAATATTCATCATGAAATTCATGATAGATTGACTATTAGATATTATAATGAGGAACAAATCAGATAATTAATAAACAATGAAACTCATGCGGAACATTACAGAATAGACACTTTGATGTTAACATTAATGACAATAACACAAAATTATGATCAAAGAAAGAATCTTTAAAAACGGATAAAGTGAGAATACATTTTTTGTGTGTGTAAATCTGACGTAATAATTTTTAATCCAAGTTACTTCTTTGTGTTTCTTCATAATTTCCGTAACCTGAAAGTAGATTTTCTTCATTAAAAAACATGTATGAGTTGAGAAAAATACCACAGGAAACTATAAAGTTTGCTTTGACATTGGTCAAAAAAAACTTTATACCATTAACTTTCAATGAAATAGAAGCAATATCTATTCAGTTTCATAGAAAAATGTGTAATCTTTTAAGATAGCAAGTCAGATATTCAGTTGTTAGAATTTCACGATATTAACAACTCAGTATAGTAGTCCTGTTGTGCTAGTGTATATAAGGTCTATGAAGTATGTCAAACTTGTAGTTTTACATTATCAGCAGATTTTAGGTGGATAATCATTGAGTAAGAGGAGAAGAGGAGGATAACCACTGGATTGTTCCAAATTAGGATGAATAGCTGTTCAGTCTTTATTGGTTTTCAGTAGTTATCTAATTATTTAACTCGGCTTTTGTTGTATTGTTTAAAAGTGTAAAAGGGCATATACTGAGGTTTATTGAAACTTTAGCCATACGGAAATTCACCCCCCCTTTGTGTATTCAAAAACAATTTGTTCTACCCTGGTAACATTAGCTTATTATCCAGAGTGATTAGGTGTTAAATTGTTTTCACATTATTTTTATCATTATTATCTTTGTCTATCCAGTCTAGTTGACCTTTTATTTTTATATATAAATGTTCTCAACAAGTATATGTGTGATCAGATTGTTCGAAATGCATTGCGCTAATATATTACATAGTTCTGATAATCTTCGTCTTCTTATTACATTATCGTAATTGAAGTCAATTTGTAAAGTAAAACTGCATAATCGGTTTAGTATGGCAACCAATATTTAACTTCACAAGTGAAGTAGATTTACCTACATATCAGCATTTTAATACAAATCACGGATGGTTAGTTGACGAAAGGGTTTTAAAAAGTTGATAATTTTTTATGAAATAATACATTACACTTTTATTTTTAAGAGGTTAGCATACAACATAATCACAATTATCAGAATGGAGTTTAGTGGAGATTTTAAACTTATAGGTTCTCGGTTCAAATCTCGTGAGGCGGGATCGTGGATGAGCACTGCTGAGGAGTCTCACAATAGGACGAAGCGGCCATCCAGTGCTTTCAGGCTTTCCATAGTGGCCTAGCTTCAATTGACTCATGATCTCAACGATATTATCACAATTCATGATTTTCATTTCAGCTTGATATTGAAATATAACTATAAATTTTTGACAAAATCTAAATCTTATTCGAAAACTGTTTTTCGTATCAATAAGCATTCGAATAATTTCGTCAGTTTTCGTTTGTTTTTTTCTCTCGGAGAAAAAAAAACCAAACAAACAATTTTTAATTGCTACTTATGAATAAATATTCTTTTTCCAAGCCTTCAAAAAAATAGGAACAAAGTTGCAGACTACCCGATTTTGGACATTTTTCTAATCGATCTGATATAATTTGTTCGATGAATTA